CCATTTTACATTAGAAACACTTGGCCTATGCATTCGATCTCACCCCATATTAGGCAGATCATTCCTTACATGGATTAGGTGGAAGAGACATTGAATGATCTCAAATTTAGGTATTTTCAAGGTGATCTCTTGATAATATATGAGCTCCAGGTTGAGGCTGCTTCATTGAAACAAGGAAACATGGTAGTCACCGAGTTCTTTACCAAGTTTAGAGTCATTTGGGATGAACTTGACAATTTTTATCCTGATTAGAGTAGTTCTTGCACCAAGAAATGCAATTGTGACATATGACATCCATATCACTCAAAGAAAGCATGAAGATCATGCCACACAGTTCTTGTGGAGACTAAAAGATTAATATGATGTAAGATCTCATATTCTTTTAATGAACCTTCTTTCACATATGTTCAAAATTTTCTTTTATGTTGTCCAAAAAAAAGACAAATAAATGAAAACATTTTTATTGAAAAGGTTGAAACGAAAATTAATGTCAACACTATCACATGTACTTATTGTGGAAAACTTGACCACACTGAAAATGTATACTATAAGAAGTATAGGTTCCCTTCACAACAATAAAGTGATGAAGAAACTAATAAGAAGAATCTTGGAAGTCTTGACTAGAAGATTTGATGAAGTCAAAAGAAGTTATTAAATAGAAGATGTTGTGTTAATTCATTAGTAAGTCTGCATCTACTTTGAGTATGTATAAGTATATATCCTCTCTTATAGCATGGGTTTTTGTCTTTTACAACAATATAAAGTACCTCAAGTATTTTTAATATGTTAAAAATCTTTTTAATCTATTAATATGTTATTCGATCGTAGTTTTAATTGATATGTTTTTGAAATAATCGATTAAAATCACTTAAACAATTTGAAAACACTTTCTGTCGCAATTTTATTCGATATATTTTCAAAATAATCGATTAATTTACTTAAGAAGTTTTAGAAAACCTTATGTCGAATTTTAACTAAAATAACTTCAAAATAATCGATTAAATTCACTTAAAAAGTTTTAGAAAATGTTCTATCGAATTTTAACTGATATATCTTCAAAATAACCACTTAAATTCATTTAAGAAGTTTTAGAAAATCTTCTGTTAGAATTTAAGTGATATATCTTCGAAATAATCGATTAAAATCACTTAATAAGTTTTAGAAAATTTACTTGCCAGAATTTTAATCGATATAACTTTAAAATTATCAATTAAAAACACTTAAACAGTTTTTGTATTATAGTTTAAATCGATTAAATCTCTTTTTTATCAATTAAAATGTCTCTGGAAAATTTTTAGAATTGTTTTAATCGATTAAATCACGTTTTTATCAGCTTAAAATGTCTCGAAAAAAATTGGTAGAATGTTTTAATCTATTAAGAGAAATTTTCACCAGTTAAATTCATTTAAGTTAAGTTGTTTTAATTGATTAAAAAATGAATTAATCGATTAATCATATCAGTGAGTTAGAAAACTATCTATATAAACAAATTTTATCCAACATTTCAAAACACATCTTTGAGAAATCAATCAAACAATATCTAGAGATCTTTTCCAAGAAAGAGACTTGTCTTTCTCATTAGAATTTTTTGGCAATATTTCTTTAGGCTCTTTGTTCTTATTTTTTGAGAAAACTCATTTTGTGGTTGGATATTTGCATCTGCATACTGATTTGATTGTTGTAGTTTCTTAATTCTCATTTGGTTCATTGTATTATCGGTGTTTAGAAGTGTGGGCACTGGTTTAAGCAGCTGGAATTGTGACTTCTATCATATGTTTAAGAATTGGGTTAAAGTTCTTGGTGTAGATTGTTTTTCTACACTCTGTTCTTGTAATTAAATGATTTCTGATTAGTGGAACTTAACTAGAATTTGGTTAAGAACTGGATGTAGCCCAGTGGATTGGGTAAACCAGTATAAACTTTGTGTTTTTGTTTTTCTTACATCTCTTTCTTTCATTCAATATTGTTATTTTAAGAATTGTTTAGGTTTTTCAATCTTTAAAATTTATAATTTGTACATAAAAGTTGCAAAAAGTTTTTTATTAGATCAATTCACCCCTCTTGATCTCAATATGTATTTCTAACATAAAGCAAGCTTAAGAATGATGCAAATAGAAAAGTTTGCACTCACTATTGTAGAACCGAACATACTGGTGACATATGTTACAAAGAACATTGTTGACATATGCTACAAAGAACATGGTTTTCCTCCCAATCATTGTTTCTACAATGGAAAAGGAAGTAATGTTAATAACATCAATTGTATAGAATATATAAGGGCAGATGTCAATACACGAAACTCTTCCAACAACAATACAAAACTTTGATGTTCATCATTCAACAACACAGAGAAAACAATTATTCACATGTTAATCATATCGAATTTCTTCATGCCTTACTCATGATCATAAGGCCAAAGGTAAGTGTCCATTCATTTTTCAATTCGGTAAAATTAGAAAATAATTCTTCATGGATTCTTGATTCAAGAGCAATTTATCACGTCACTTCTTCTATTTCATGGTTATATCATGACTAAAGCTCTGCCTCCTTCTACGTTCACTTTCTTTGTCCAAGTTGGACATTTAAATACTCATTTCCAACTCGAAAGGGTTGTCAACACAATATAATTTACAGTAAAATACAAGTTGTCGCTCAACCAACAAATCAAACTCCAATCATTTCTACCATTCAACAAACACATCGAATTTTAACCGATTCAATCACTCAACGAACATATTGGACTTTAGCTTACTTGATCAATCAACAAATAAATCGAACTTCAACTAATTCGATCAATAAATAGTTCGTTCATCCCCGCTCAACTTTTACTCTTACTTATAGTTTCAATCTCTTGTTTTTTTTTTTCAATAGGTGTTAAGTTGTTTTAATACAAGGAAACTAGTTTAATGTCTTGAAAAATATTTCAAAATTGTGTTATGAAAAAAAACATCAACGATCAATTTAATGAAATGAGATATACAAAATGATGTGTCGATTTTTATAATAGTATGATGGCATGATTGCACTTAGTATGTTACGAAACTAAAAATGGTTGGCAATTGATATTTTGAATTTGACAAAATCGAAAATATTCATTGCAATCCAACTAAGAAAATTTCTAGTTACAAAGGTCCAATATAGTATCCATGACCATTAAACTCATTCTCGCGAGAATAGTTAAATTTCTATCCCAAGTTTGATAAGAGAGAATTGAGTTTAGTGGGGACAGAAATGGATAATCTAATTCCCACCCTGATCTTCTCCCTTCTGTCCTAACTTTAAATTTATATTTAAATTCTAAATTATTATGATTTTTAAAATATTTCTTTTTTTCTCACATTAAGGTTATTTTTCTATATTTCACCCTTTTTATTTTTTCTACCCACTTTTCACTCTTTTGTCTTTCTTTAATCTCATGAGTTAATTTATTATATTTCTCTTTCTTTTACCTTTTATTTTTCGCTTTTCCTTGATCTCTTCGTTCAATTTTACAAACATAAAATTAGTTTTTCTTTTCCCTTATCTTTTTCTAAATATTATAGATTAATCTTAATAGTAACTAATATTATTGTATTTATAATTTATCTCTGTTTTATTTTATTATATTTTTTAGATTTTATTATTCTTATTTATTATATATTAAATTTTATCCTGATAAAATAATTGTATTTTGAATATTAAGAAAAACTCATAATTAATTTTTTCATTACTTTGAATTAATTAAATAAAAATCAACTTATTAAATATTTTCTTATAAACTATATATTTTATATTTATAAATATTTTAAAATGATAACTTAAAAAATAATATAATAAAATATTTGAATATAGTATTATAATATAAAATAATAATAATTATTATAATATATTAAATATTCTATAAGAAAAAAGAATAATTAAATATATATATATAATATAAATATAATAAATTAAAATATATAATTAATTAATAATTATTATTATTATAAATAATTATTTGTGTAAAAATTACATAAAAAATATTAAAATTAATTTTTATTATAAAACAGGAGGGATCTAGATTGAGAAATCCAAAATGAACTAAAATAAAGATAGATACTTAATTTTTAACCTGTCATAATAAAAACCATGCCTATCCATCATAGATAGCTGAGTGCTATATACGTTCAAAAATCACAAGGTTGGATTATTCTACGTTGTGGTCCTGCGTTTATACTTATTAGCTACTTCAAACAATAAAGATAAAGAAAACCATGCATGTTGTGTTTACATGTCTCATAATGCGTGCGTCTTGGTGTATCATGTAGCATTAGTATTGGTCGGTACATGTGAGTGGTCTCACTGATAAGTTTAGAATTATAAATCAGTGTTGATATTCTACTTTTACTTTTTTATACACTTAGTAAAGTCTCAATTGCGCTCATCATAATTAAACAATTTGATTATTTATCAGTTATTCATTAATGTGATATTTAATTTATTTCCTTATCAACATTAAAGGGGAGAGAAGTATAAGGGGGAATACTCATCATTAGTATGCTAACTTTATTTTGGCATATAGTAAACCACACCTTTAATTTTATAAATCAAATAACAATCCACTAAATTTTTTATAAATAATTCTGAGAAGGTAAAATGTTTTTTTTTCATAAGTTTATATTAGTTAATTAATATAATGTTAATATGTAAAAACTATTTTTGTATTAATTTTTTAATGTGTATTTTTTTAATTCATGTAAAAACTAGCTTAAATTTGATGAGAAGTTAAATTAATTATAATTTTTTATGTGTATTTTTTAAGAAATTTCCTCAAAAACAACCTTATAGTTAAAAAATAAATAAACTAATTATTTTCGGAGAGAACTAAGCAAGTGAAAAGACTGTTTCTTTACTTGTCCAATCCATTGCCACGCAGTAATTATCCATGGACTTTGCGTTCCCTTGTATTTAAAAAGGATCCATTGAGGGCATGCTTCACACCACAATCTCATTGCTTCACACACACAATTTCCCTTAAAAAAATGACGGAGAAGGTTTCTCGTGGATCATGGTCCACTGGTTTATGCGACTGCTTCTCAGACTGTGGCTCTTGTATCAACTCATTTTCCCTCTTCCATTATCTTTAACCATATATACTTCATACGCATCTATCAAATTAAGCAATTATGCAACTCTCATTTCATGGTGTTCACCCTTTTATCCCCAGGTTGCCTCACTCTTTGGTGTCCCTGTGTTAGCTTTGGAAGGGTAGCTGAGATCCTGGACAAAGGGTCAAACTGTAAGTGTGTGATTGATTGAGCTGATAAATTACTGCTACCATGCCATTTTGGTAGTTTAGTTTTTCTGTGAACTTATTATTTTTTTGTTAATGCAGCTTGTTGTTTGCATGGATCACTGTTCTATTTCCTTGCTATTTTTACTCAGCTGGGAGCCTCTATCTACGCGTGGTTTTATCGTACAAAATTCAGGGAGGTGTATGGGATTGAGGGACACCAATGTAAAGATTGTTTGGTGAGTTTTGTGTGCCCCTGTTTATCCCTTTGCCAAGAGTATCGTGAGCTCAAAGCCCGTGGATTTGACATGTCTGTTGGTAAGTAGACTAATAAGTATGGTTGGTTTTCTGATAAATTTTCATCATGAGTTGTTTAAGTGATTGTGGTTTGATGTATAGGTTGGGAAGGGAACGTGCAAATGCGCACACGTGGTGTGATGTCAGCACCGGCAGTGGAGGGTGGCATGAGCCGTTGAGCTGGACTGTGTGTGAGACTGTCTGTGGCATTAGGGTTTGTTTGGAGTGAGTGAAAATGAAATAATTTGTTTGGTTTTGTTGTTGTGGTACGTAGCATTACATTAGAGTGAATAATGTTGAGCTGGTTGTGTCTCCTGTCAACACAAGCACGATGAAAAGTCTCATATAAATACATGTTTTTAAGTCCTTTTTATTATTAATGTATAATTATATTAAGTTTTTCTATAGTACATTTATAATGAGACAAAAATAGAGTAAAACGATATATCAGAAATTAGTTAATTAAGTAACATATAATTTGAAATTTATAAACGAAAATGATTACTTTAGTAACAATAGAGTGTCAGATTTACTACCTGTATCAATTTTAGTGACATATTACAATTTCTATAAAGTATAAATGAATGCATTATTTTGCTTGGTGAAATAGTTTTTTTTTTTTATCTTAAATGGAAAATAACCGAAAACAATTAATACAGAATTGTTTGGGAAGAGACTATATATTCATTAAAAATAAGGCTTTTATTGAAAGAAAAAATAATTACTCTAAAATCTAAAAATTGTGTTTAGTACTATTTAATCTTAATATTATAAAAACGAAATTAATTATTAGTATTAATTTTAGGAATAAAATTAATATTTTATTATAAATTTCTACCAAAGTAAATGAAAACATGAAACTGAACAAAACTTCTGAGGCGTGGTCCTTAAAACAGATTTGGGACTTGTCGTTATCAAAGAAGTTATCCGACACCGTGTTTTCTTACAGGCATAGCTTCGTCGGAATTGGATCTTTAAGCGGTGGAAACAGAAAATTTCAGGGCCTGATTCTTATACTTGCAATTGTTTAAAATCAACTTTATCTCTTAATATGAAAATAAATAAAAAAAGACAACAAAAGAAAATAGTGAAGAATAAAAGTAATTATTAAAATAACTTCTTATTAATATTAAAATAAATTAAAATTATATAAATTTAATCTTATTGAATATCTTGATTTTTTTAAAATAAATAAGCTAAGTATTATTAAAGCACAGTTTTTAGAATCTAAAATATATATTTTTTATTTTATTTTTTAATGTCAAAACCAGTGAGATAAGAATGGGAAGTTTCAACAAATTAATCATTAAATGTAGCCACCTAGAAAGTTTGGGGATAATAAGCCACTGTCATTTCATCATCTGTAAGCTATCATCACACTTTATACACTATTTTTTTTATTTTTTATTTTTTTCAATTTTTATCATAACTAATGGTTTTCCTTTGCTGAATGATTATTATAATTAATGTATGTGAGGTGAAAAATACTATTCGATTATCAAATAATTCATGTAAAATTAAAAAAAAAAATTTACTGAAATAATATAATTTTATTTGAGGAAAAAAAAGAAATTGTTTAGTATAAGATGAAAAATAAAATGCAAACTGAATTTTCTAACATATTTGTAATAAGATTAAAATTCACTGAATCAGTTTGTAAAAAGTATTGCAATAAAATACTCAAAACGACTGACATGAAGAAGAATATTCTTGTATACAATTGTTTCAAAATAGTTAATAAAGGACAAAAAAAATATCATTAAAAAATTGCTCGAAATAGAATCAGAATTGACAAATAATAAGAAATAAAAGCAAGACTTTATTTATTATTGATAAAATAAAACTGATAGATTAACTTACCTGAAGTATCTTTTAATAAACTTATGGTTGAAGTTATCTGTTAATAACTAATCTGAATAACTATATTTTAGTGATTGAAGTATTAGAAGATGAATCAATATATGGTTGATTAAACCATTGTTAGAGTTTTTAGAGGATTTAATTCTTAATTACAAAACTAGGACATGAATTCCATATGCAAATAGAAAGCATAAACCTCTATGGACCATAAACTTTATATTCTTTATAGGTTTGCCCCGTTACATAGAACCCTATTGTATACAAATTGCACTATCATCACTTCCCTTACTAAAACAAAACCACCATAGATAGACCACAATACTATTACTTATAACACTCTTCTCCATTTTTTTTCTTTTCATTATAGATTTTTTTCCCTAGGGTGACCAATTTTGCGCACCACATGATAGATACACTTGCAAAGTCAATAGTGGGCTGAAAAGAAAGACAGAAGGCCCACCAGCGGGGCATTAATGTATGTTGTGGGCTCAGATTGCTGAAAGAAAGGCCTGGAATCAGGGAAGGAATCTGTGTTATTGGTGGGCCCACCCACCACGGCCCCAACCAACACATTGGGGTTGGGATTTGGGCTAAAGAAATACTGAGAACCAGCTTTACAGCCAATGCGGGCCGGGTGGGCCGCCACTGAGGGAAGCGAGCTGGCCCGGTGGTGTATCCTCTGCGGGTAGCGTGGGCCATAACCAACCATGTACGACATTCCCAAGGGGTTGTCCCCGAGAATGTAATCCACCTAGCAAATGAAAGCCACGTGAACTCACATCATTAGAAGATTACCCTTGTTGCAAAATAAAATTAGCATAGTATAATAGTGTATATCACGTGTTCACTTCAATGTACTCAAAAATGAGAAAGGACAAAATCTAGCCGTTAATTTCGTCAGAATGTGGAAAACTAGAAACTAGGCCCTTAATCGACGGCGATGTCGAGTTCTGTTGGGAACCACTCACTAGTGGAGGAGTGATAACAATGATTTTGGTTACCAAAAAATGTTATTCTCACCTGACGTTTAGCAATGTGTTTGAGTAAGGCTGGGGTGGCAGTAGTCTCGCCACATGGCACGACCTTATTGGCGTGGCTTAGGTAGTTAGAATAAGCCAGGAGCAGGAAAGACAGGGACGTTACATGCTGCATGTTACTTCCACCCGCCTTGAAGATAAGCCCACCTTTTTTATTAACCAACAAAAGAGAAGTTTGAGTATAAAAAAATGGGAGAAAACGCAAGTATAGTAACTACCGTTATTGCAATAATTGTGCAGAAATACCAATGCATGCAAAAACCTCTGCACACAAAAACACAATCAAAGCGGGGCTTTTTCTTTAGGAAGCAGGCAAAGCATGATTAATGGCTTTGTTTGGGTCTCAAAAATCATAATCACCAGAGGTAGAATTCTATAATCACGCCAGAATCACTTTTCTCAAAATAGTTAAAAAGAAAAGTCAAAAAGTGAAAACAAAAACAGTGAGCGAATATTTTTTACCTGGGGAATATTGAACTTGAGGGTGAGAAATTCCAGGCAACGTTGAACAGATAAATCCATCCGCGTTTTGTTTGAACGACGCAAAATAGCTTGCTCTTCCCATCAACACCTCCTGTAGAAAATAAAAATACATTCATTTCAATCCAGCAATATTCGAAGTAGATTGTTTCTTCTAATCTAAGGTGACACCAAAGCAGGATCGTGTATACAAAAGTCAATGAAATTGTATCGATGTGCATGCATGGATAAATATTTTGAAGTTTGTGGTTTTCTGTGAGTATAATGTGTGCAATGGATGTGGAATATCAAAACCCAACGTACAATGTGCGATCTCTCACGGTTACAGAATAGTAATAGGATAGCACGGGAAAGGTTGATAAAAAGATAATGTGCGAGAAAGGTGAGTTACAAGAAAGAATGCGAGAAATAATGTGAAAGCGATGAGAGCTTAAACAAGAAGTCACAGGCTCAGCTGATGCAGGAAAGTAAAGCAATTTTGCAGAAAATAATGGTATGGTGCACATGCATGGAGCAGTAGTGGGACCCATCCATTTGCCAGATCTAAAAGGATGAAAATAATTAAAGGGAAGACTTTTGGTTCCAAATGTTTACGATGTGAAGACAACCAGTTTGGCCATCCACTTCGGTTCTGATTCCAGAGACACCACCCTAATCCTAATTCATTTTTTAAAGACAAATTTGCCCCCCTCATATATCAGTTTCATAAAAAATCCAGTGGCATGATTTAGATCTAAGTTCCAATTATTAGGGAATGTCCCCGCCTGTATAAATAACAAAACCTGGTGCCCACATTAAACTTAAAAATGTAATTCACATCATGTGCAATCATCAGCATTTCAACAACCCCTTTCGCATTCCTATCTTGGCTTTTTTAATATTCATGAATAAATGGATAAAGCCATTTAAAATAAATAAATAAATAAATAAAATCCAATCTGTACTCACGTTCCCAATCTCCTTGTACCGTACATATGCGCACAACATTATTCACCATGGCTTAGATTCCTTACACGACCCACCAATAAGAGGAAGTCAAATTTAAAATACTACCCTCCTTCTCATTTTCTACATGATTTGAAATTATTATTGCTTCTTATGAAAGCACCTAAGTATTTTCTTACTACTGTTTATATTCGGATAATATTACTTTCATTTATTCTATAAAATTTCAGACGGGCTTATGCTTTTTATTTAATGATAATTACACAAAAATATGTTTTAGTCAAGGTATGCGTTAATTGATGATGTTTTATATAACGGGCACTAACTTTAAAATGAGAATAATTTGAAAAAGAACGGGACTTTGTTGCAAAATAAAATAAATAAAACATACTAGTTAAATGTAAGTGATATGCAATGTGAGTAATAATGGTGTTCATCTGAAATCCCCTATTGTGCTTGTGAAGATGGATGATTAATAATATGATAGGTGGGGAGATTGGGAATGGGCCAATGCGAAGGAGGGTCCGAAGTGGACAAAGTAAGTCACATTCCACAGACCATGTGATGCAGAAACTTTATCTCCATATTCTGCATCTAGATTGAATGAATGAACAGTGTGACACTGCGCCCCCACATGCTAAACGGGGGACGCAAGACAAGAGGAACAAAAACACCGCATAAAAGACAAAAGCATTTTGATATGTGCGCGCACACACAATGACACAAACATAGGAGTAATAATGATTAAATAAGATGGAAAACTCCACTTCAACAATCCTATCATATAAGTATACATATAAAATTAAATAAAAACTACGGCAATTAATCAATTACTAACCAAAACAGGTATGAATACGAAAAGTTGAATGATAAAAATGGGTATAGCAGAGCAGTGTTGTTAATGTTACCTTAGAAATGAGGACATTAATCCCAGCATGCTTGTTATCCCAACCAAACTCATTAATGGTGTCCCCAGCTCTCAACACCACTTCGTTCCTCACAATGTATTCTCTGTACTCACGCCTACGAGACGCCTTGTGCAACCACGCTGCTGCCCAAAGCAACTCGTCCTAAAAACACCATCACATAAACTAACGTTTTAACTGAATAATTAAAACTCAAAAAAGTCATCTAATCCCACGGCCAATATTCCACCCCGATCACAAATTTTGTTCTGCTATGACTATTATTGGTTGACATACCTGGTAACCATTGACGTCGCAGTAAAACGGGCAGACTGCACGTCGCAGGCTGTTACTGTATGCACCACGATGCTTGTCAGCAAACTGGAACACCTGCGCCCTCACCCAAACCAACGGTCATTTTCTCGCGATATTTTAACGGAAAATGCGTTAAATGCACCTCTTTCACAGATTAACCATACACACACAAAAACACACGCCAGAAAATAAATAAAGCAAAAGAAAAAAAATTCAATTCCCGGTAAAGTGTTGCGTGGAATGGGTGACATGGAGTTATTTCATGTCTCTCGTGAGAAACGAGACGAGACGAGAGTCTCGCTTTCCACAAACCGCTTTTCAAACTTACCACATTAACGTTTTAACTTTTCAACTAAAGCCAAAGGGAAAAGAGGTTTTCACAATTACTTATTTATTTTTTTATATATAAAAAGAGAAAGTGTGTCTCGTGTGGGAGGGTGCATGAGTGAGACGCACCGCAACGGCTCGATTGAGGAGCATGGTAGAGTAGGAGGGGTCACGTGATCTGAAGACGATGGAGGCAGCGGCAAGTGCAGCGGCGGTTTCTCCTGCCACGTCAGAACCTGGGTGGGACCCGTCGATCTTGAAAACGGTTCGCAGCGTGTCCATGTCTTCGGGTCTCTCCCAACAGTTATGGTCAGAGTAAGGGTCGCCAACCTGCACGAACACCACGCCGGAACCAATCTTCGCCGTCGCCTTCAGCAGATAATCGGTCCCCCACCTCACCGCCTTCAACGCGTTCCCTAGCTCCGCCCCCATGCTCTTCTCGAAGTCGATCACGCTCCACGACAGCATCGTCGTCGTGAACGCCATCGGAAACCCGAACTTTATGTTGTCCCCTGCATCGTAGTACCCTCCGCTCAAGTCCACCTGGGTAAAAAGCACAATGTACCTCATTAATAATGATAATAATAATCATGACAACCTACTTAATTAACCTCCATCTATAAGCTACATTGACAACAAAGAAAACAGAGAGAAGATCTTACTCCGGCAGTGGCGCCGTCGTGCAATGCTGAGTCGCGACGCCAGCGGAGGCGCTGGTCGGCTGGGAGTTTGCCGGAGCGCTGGCCTTCGAAGAAGAGAATGCTTTTGCGGAGGGCATCGCGGTAGTCGTGACCGGCGATGGTAGGGTGGAGGAGGAGGAGGAGGAGCATGGAGAGGACAGAGAAAAGAACGTTTGGCGCCATTCTTGTTGTTTTCTTTTCCGCTCTGGCATGCGAGGTGGTGTGTGAAGTGTGAGGAGTGAAGGGGAAACGGTCGAGGTTGTTATATAAACGAGAAAGCATCCTTGGATTCCAGTGATTCGTCCAGTGCGGATTGGCCACGTGGAGATATGACAGTCGTTTGTTTTGGTAGCCCGATGCAAACGGGGCTTGACTGAACGAAAGCGGGGCTTGACCGGGTTCGGTTCGGGTTGGAATTTGGAGTGGGAATAATGTGGACATGTGATGGGCATCGCTAATCGGTGGAGAACACGTGGAGTAGGGGGGTAGGGGTTGGGGAAACGGGAGTGTGGGACCCAGCGAAAAGTGTGGGTGCATTGTAAGAGAGTACTCTATGTGTGTATGATGTAGGCGCAGCTTATGATGGAAGTGGATGAATGATTGTGAAGCGTCAGATGGTTTGACTGTGTGTTTATGGGGAAGTCAGAAGACTGCTAGGGCATGTGAATAAGTGAATTTATGTCGTCTGGTTGGATTCTATGCCCCTGTTTGCACCACTTGGAATAAGTTCATTACAAATCAAACATCCATTCATATGCTATGTAAGTTTATTCATACCTGCACTGTATTTTTTAAGTGGATTTTAAAAAGTAAAAACGTTTTCTAATTAAACTATATATATAAATTTTTTTTTATCTATTTTCACGTTAAAGAACATCGCAAACAAAAGATTGGAACACTTTTCACAATCAAAAGTTTCATGAACAGTGTCTCGACAATGCTTAATTGTGAACATGAGATGGTTATAATACGTGTTATTTCACAATCTTTCTCGCGTATCATCTTGTGGTTTTCTCTTTTAGGCCATGTGCATGTTTACCAGACCTATTGTGTATTGGTACAAGATACAAACAGTACGTAATCTCGTTTTGCCCCTCCCACATGTGAAGTAAAAAGATGTGTTCCATAACATGTTCACAAAATCACTAGTAACAACGACCATTTAGTTGTCCACCATTAGATTAAACAATCCATATTCTTCCAAAGTCATGTTATTTTGATATTGTATAAGTGAGTTTCTCATTTGGATGATCCTATTCGTATTACTTTATGTGTTGAATTATGATTTTAGTTATTTACCTCTTTATTGGATTTAATTTAACCCTTTATTTAAAACTCAATTAGCACGTAAATTTTTTTTTCCTGTTTGTTAAGTTTAAAACAAAACAAAAATCAAAATAACTTTCTTTTATTACCAATAATTATAGATATAAAAAAAAGGTGAGATACAATAAAAAGTTGAAAAAAAATTAAAGATATGATGTAAACAATTTTTGTAAATTAATTTATACATAAGTTAATTTGAATTTTAAAAAATAAGATATAAAAGATAAAAAAAACCACTGTTAAAATTAATGAAGTAAAAGTTATATTAATATTTCTACTATTTTAGATCAATGGTTAAGTGAAGAACAAAACATACATTAATGAGAGTGTATTACTGATCACAAATTTTAGTAACAATTTGAAATCTCGCTTGATGAAAAGCATGCTAGTTTATACCAAAGACCTGCCAAGAAACCCTTGATTGCAGAATGTGTATATTTCAATACAGCTAGTTCACCCTTCTGCATCATTTTCCTTCATATAGATCTTGCCTTCAGAGTTGATTTACTAAACACATGCTAAAAGCAATATATGAGTGGACTTTAATAGAAGAAACAGTAGCACGGTTTCAAAGCTCTAAGCATGTCGAGTCTAAAACCTGAATAACGTAGACTAAGGAAAATCAGTTTTATTCACATTATGAAGGAAAAGTTTTCAACACAATAATGTGAGAAGCAAAATATCTCAAAGAGATTATTTGGAATACATCATAAGGCAGAGTTCAAGATAAAATATGGTGCTGATATATCAAACGCATATTGTGGAAAGATGCACAGCAAATTTCAAAATTTGGTACAACTTTACTGAGCTAATGATGTAAGTTCATGGGAAATCATACCAAGTCTGGAAAGTAAAATGCTCTGCTACAAAATCATACCAGATTTTTATGTGCATAGAAAGTTATGAGGATGAGAATCTGGCTTTTAAGTTGCAGAATATCTTTTTCTTCATTTCTTCATAAAAGAAATATGATGAAAATATTTTAACTACTTATTATGTCATAGAACCAAATAACCATAAATCTTTAATAGCTAATAATAGAAGTGTAGAATCACGTTGAAACCATATTATGTTACCCCTTATTAATAATTTGCTTAATAATCAACATGAGGTGACTCCAACATATGAAAATTTATCAAAAAAATCACTATTGTTTGCTCGAAATATACCAATACAATAGCTCCATCAGGTCTTCCGAAGAATTGAGATAATACAAGGATCAAAACTATTCAAATAAAAAAAATTGAAGATATATTAAGGCAATTATCTAAACTAGGTTGATAGGAACTATATGCATCTTTTATAGTTTTTTTTTTTTTTATATAAATCAACAGTATTTCTCAATGCTCATTTATTTTTTATTCTCTGAATAAAAGGAAAGTTTTCAGACTTGCTACGGATTTGTGCCTCGACATAGTGAAATAGTAGTATTGTGGGGACCCTACTCTCTCACACGACTCATGCACACTAGTGAATTGAAGCTACAATTTTTGTTTTCTATTGAGAGATTAATCTTCTTCTACTTAGATAAGTTCGGACTAGTAAGCCCTGTGTTTGTTTTCTGATAAATGGAAGGGTTAGTGCTTTGATGGACTGGATAAGTTTAAAACTGCCAAGTGTTGACTCAGCATAGTTTTCCATAGGGAACGTATTAAGTTGAGAAAACATTGGATTCATTCTTTTCGGGTATAGGCTTATGGTTTTTATCTTACTAAGAAAAATTTCCAGGCCTTGGAGAAATGTAGGTATGAGCACTCAGTTGAGCATACTAGCCAGTTCATTGAAGAGTAACATCAGCACTTTGCAAAATTTAAAAAAGGGAAAGAAGATACTCGTAAAGACGTAATTTTGGTATATTAATACCAGAATTTTTCTTGTCTATAATGATGCTTGATCTAGACACAAAAGTGTCATAAACAAGTTCATTTTCTTATCATTCTTTCCATTCTGTGAATATATCATACCCTCTATAATAACTTGTGACTTCACTGATATTTTGATTTTTGAAAGTGTGGCAAAGCACATTCAACAGGGCTTGTGAAGCAGTTCAATTACACTAGAAAAGTACTATTTAAAAGCAAAATGACGAGAATAAATGAAAAATGACTAAGCTATAAGTGTTTACAACAGCATATTACTCCAAGATCCATTTAACCAGACACATTGTTAGTTGTTATTTTGTCAGGGACTGGGGAAGCATGACTCTAGCTTTGCTGGACACAAAATGTCACAAACATTTGAAGCTCAGACAACCTGATTTTGTTTGTTGTCGAGGATAAAATCTGTAACCTTTATCATTTTAGAAGTGCTTTAAGGCTAACATAACCTCTGCATGAGATGTGAGAAGTGTCTATAAATGATAGAACTGAAATCCTAAAGTTACAGGAAAAGGTTACACAGACATTCCTTATTAGGTATTGTCTTGTGAGACTAAAAAAACACGTTTCATGATAGCATGTTGTTCTAAATTAACGATGGTGTTATTTAGCCTATGTGGTATCTGTGGTTTTATCAATGAGTGGGATTTACTCATTTTCCCCAAATACATCATTGAATTCTCTGTTTGGCTAGTGGCTATCATAGTGGGGTCTCATTGTAAGATATTATTTATGACAGGAAGCTTTACGCCTGATAGTTGATGTCGTTTCGTTTCACGTAATGAAAGAAAAGAAAAAACAACAACAGTATTTGTTTATCGTTTGAGATAAGATTTTTACATATATCACATATCACTGTACACGTAAGGCTTTGCTTCTCTGTTGCATATCTTTGCTATACTTCAAATCTGGTTTGATTGCTGAACATACAAGAGCATAAATGTCTTAAAAATATAGTGCGAATTTCTCACCACTGGAGATGCCACATTCCCAGGTGCACCAAAACCAAGTTCAACATGACTAGTTCTATGACAAAATTCATCACGAAGGTTTAGCAAGTGTTGTTGCATTTAGGTTAGGACAGAAGATGATGTTGTTATCAGTATGATAATATTCCCTATGAGTGTATGGCCATTATAGGTCCATGATAGGCTATCCATACCAAATGTTTATGGCAGCTGTTTGTCTTTATGCTGGAACAGATCTTAACAGTTTCTCAATGAAAGCACATTGGAAGAGTAACTTGTCATTAATCATAAGAGGTCTTCCATGTTTCTGGCTTTTTTGTTGGTCCAATGAAAATAATAGCTTAATTGAAGCAAGACCACTAGAATTAACGCAACAAAACCAAAGATAATAAAGAGGGAGATTTTGTAATTATCCTTCATTCACGGAGACCTTGGTTTTCGTTGTGACAAGGATGTTATATATGTTGATGTGTAGATGTGGAAAATTCATCCCAAAGCTTCAGAAATCCACACAAAAGGTTTCTCACCTTGTCTCCCCTTTACAGTGCCCAGATGGGTATTCAGTTACCATCTTATCTCCATCACCTATTACTTGATTCCTTACTATCCACGTACAACTATGTTATGTATGCATATTTGTTTTTCTTGATTGCGTAAAGCATTTGTCGACAATGACAACAAGAATTAACTCTCTTAGTCTGAAAAGTTAGTTTTGTACTCAAATTCTTTTTTAAACTATATCTTTCATTAACTGAAAGTTATTTGAGTGAAAATTAAATGTATGAAGTACGTGGCTCATCTATATCATCAAATATGGGCAAAGGGGAGAGTCCATAAGTCATATATTGAACTATAAATATGAATGATATGATGAAAACAAGTTTTTGATTGAAATTAAAGTTCATCTTATTTGCAAGCATATTTAGGGTCCAATTTGCTCAATTTTATCTTTCAACCAAGCATTTTACCTTTCCTTAAATGCCAATTTGATTCTCCCATAACAATATATAATATGACAATGGGAGAAAATTCAAACTATAGTAATTCTCTATTTGCCATATGAATTAGTTTTAGTTTTCCTTAAAAAAATTAAAAATAATGTCAAGGACAAAATATATTTCCTCTCAATAATGTTATTATTAGGTATTTTAAAGGGACAAACATCTCGAGAGATTCTCATAAATGAGTCATAAATCAATTATATAAGAGAATATGATACAACTCTCAAAACTTTAAATGCATAAATTTTTTTCACTTATAAATTACCTAACTTTCTCATTTCTATCTCACATTTATATTCTCATCCGTTGAAGTGATGAAAATAAGAGAAATTTTTGTATCATTAAATAATTAGGGAAAAAGTCAAAATTGTGACAGTGTACCTTATTTATATATTGCTATATTAAAATCTGCGGTCAACATCAAATTTGACAATTGTATTTAATGAGAATTTTATTGATTTATAATTAAATATTATATTAATAATTTGTGACAATTTTTGTAAAAAAGAACAATTTAAAAAATAAATAAATTGGTTTTATATACATATATTTTACAAAAGTGTAATTATTTAATTATACAAATAATGTAAGGTTAATCTATTTATTAAAAATATATACATAAATAGGAACTTTTAATTCAAGCATAAATATTTATATATATGAATGATGTATATTAATATACTTTTTTAATATAATTCATATAATAAGAACGTTGAACTCAAAATTAAATTTTATTGAGTACTTTAAGAGTGCTAGTAAGTCATGCACGAATAAAGTGGTATGAATGCCATAATTGAACGGGATAATAAAGAATAGTTTTTAGGACAAATTCAATTGCAATTGCTATGGCACTTTATTTCAAATTTAGCAAGTAACAACTCAGGTACCTTTGAAGTGCAATGGATAGAAAAAAATAAAATCTTTAGGGTTAGATAGTGGATTTCATTTGACTAACCTCCCTCTAGAGTTGCTAAGATTGTAATAAAAAGTTAGTTAGTTGCTCAAAGTAATTAAAATATTACCTGTACAACTACTTATTTCTATTAAATTTAGGAATGGACCAAGAAATATTTTCGAGAGCTAAGAAATTAAAGTATAGCCCCTTTATTTATAGATGATGGTCTATGTGCATTTACTTTAATCTAATCTTAGGTTTTCATAATGAATTGTCTATATGGTTGGAGAATAACTTACTTTCAAGAAAAAAACCATAAATGTTAAATAATGTGTTACAATAAATGTACAAATTAGTACTTTAGTGATTACTCACTCTTCTCTTTTTACTTTGTGCACGACAAAGAGAACCAGTTACGCCGTTGAGCCCGTTACATGGTTAGTTATTGTCAGATGGATTCTTCTAGAGACAATGGTTTCAAATCGAAATTATGATGTTCATTTTTCTTGCTGCTCACTGTTTCTTATTTGACCATTCAAAAGTCAAAGTAAAAAAAAAAAAAAAAAAGACTAAAATGTGTTACGAGCGGAAGGAACACCACAATGTTGTAACTTTTTCAAAATGCTATGATGTTGCATCAGTTTGCCCTTCAACCCTGTACTTAAATTTTGAGGAAATAGTTGCTTGAATGGTGGTGGGTAGTAATTATAAATATATTTCATGAACTCTCCCACTTGGACAGGTTTGAAAAAGAAGCAAGTTAAAGAATTTTGTCTCAAGCTTTACCGTACCATTTTGCAGGATCAATTTTACTTTTTATTTCAGCTCACAAGTTAAGCTATGGTAAAAATATAATTGGTTTAGGTATAGTGCAATCCCTTGAATTGTGGGAAAGGTTAACTCCCACAAATATAATCATTGTCTCTGTCCTTGAATGGTGTGTGTGGAAGGGAAGAGTAATCACTGTATTTATATTTCTTTGTGAATAAAGTAGGAAGAAAGGTTTCACACTTCAGAGATGGTGGAGAAATGTGAGAAAATTTGTGACCTATACACACCTCCAATTTCCTAACTAACTTCCCACAACCGACCTAAAAAAAAGTGTTAGCCCACACGCCACACTTCCAAGTCTTTGCTGCTTTATTAGGTTATAGCCAATTACCACTATTCTAGTGGATGCCATCGCACAACAACCTACGGCTACATTATTATTTAAAAAAAATTTATCAATTTAACTCTTGAATGGAACATGAATGTTCTGTTTTTCTAAAAAAAATCTTGATATTATATGAATATTAAAAAAAAAAAAAAAAAGTCAAATGAATGTTTTGAGTGATGAGAAATGAGATTGGAGCAGAGCGAGCCATGACGAAGGAGGGGTGCTGCACTTTACAAGAAGAACGAATGATTAGAATGATGAAAGCCGTTGATTTCGTCACGGACTGAAAATGACGGTTGATTTGTAAGATTCTGCACTAGCCGCAAAACTTAAGTGGCCACTGCGCATGCTACGCCACTGCCACGGATGAGAAACCAAATTTGGTGTCATCTTCTTTGTCTCCTTCCTTCTTCTCAACTCATTTTTTCTCATTTAATATTTGTTTTTTTTTTTGTTAGTTAAACAAATTTGTGATTAAGCTTAAAAAGTATGGTGATTTAATTTGATTGAATGAGGAATGGTTTTGCATTCTGTTGCTTCCTTCCACTAAATATCACATAAAACATTATTTAATTAAATCATGTAAGAAGTGTCCCCACTCCAAGCATTGCCCATCTTCTTCCCCTATTATTATTACTCACACATGCCTCCCATTATTTTGCTTCTTCTATCTTCTCCACCAAATCAGATCATTCATCTTTTTTAATTGGGCCTTCATTCACCAATTTTAGGATCAAAATTAGAGTTCTACTTTTTAACTGTTAATGTTTGTAACAATGTTATTTCCTTCATCTTAGCTTAATTTTAGCAAAAATCTAGGCTTATTACTGCTTAATATTTAACCTTTTCGAAAAAACTAAGGTTCAACCATCACTTTGTTGACGTCAGTCACGTAACCAACGTATTATGTGCCAACATATCAGCGAAATATTAGGAGAATAAAAAAACGATGAATTATAAAACTCACGTTCAGTTCTGAGTTTTTTTTTTCTTTCTTTTTATCTAATCTTAACTTCAGTTACTTATAATTTTTGTCACATAAAAATCATTGTACAACGTGTTTTTGTCACGTGAAAATCATTAATTTTTTTGTCAAAAGAAAACATGTCAATCAAAATCCAAATATTCGACTAATTTTGCATAATTTAAAAAAAATATATAACTTAAGGACTACCCTGCATTGGTGATAAAGAATAGAAGAGTGGATGGCAATATTGTTATTTCAGTTGAAAGGAAGAAGCTGGAAGTAAATTCACAGGAAACTGGTGCCTACAAAAACCCCTCTCTCTTTCTCTCACTCACGAACACACACACTACTCAGACAACGCAACAACACGACCCCATAACAGAATCAGAACCAAACAATGACAATGAGAACCCAACGCCTTCACCTTCACCAACTCGTCCTCTCTCTCTTCCTCTTCGCAGCCGCATTTTCTCCGGCGGTCGCGGCCGCAGACGACGCCTCAGCCCCTGCGGCGGACGACAGCGACACCGATTTCATCCGCTCCAGCTGCAACACCACACTCTACCCTGACGTGTGCTTCACCTCCCTCTCCCGCTACGCCAATGCGGTGCAGCAGAATCCCGGCCAGCTTGCGCGCGTGGCCATCGGCGTCAGTCTCTCCAAGGCCCGCCGCGTCGCCTCTTACGTCTCCAACCTCACGCACGACGCCGACTACGGCGCGAGCGGCTCGCGCGCAGCGCTGGCGCTGCACGACTGCTTCACGAACCTGGGCGACGCCGTGGACGAAATCCGCGGGTCGCTTAAGCAGATGCGGCAGATTGGCGCTGCCGGCGAGGGCGCCGGGTCGTTCCTCTTCCAGATGAGCAACGTGCAAACGTGGATGAGCGCCGCCCTCACCGACGAGGAGACCTGTACGGACGGATTCCAGGACGTAGCGGAATGTCCCGTGAAAGCGGATGTATGCGATCGCGTCACCAAGGTCAAGAAGTTCACCAGCAACGCTTTGGCCCTCGTCAACTCCTACGCCAGCAAGGGAATGCCGTGAACTCTTCCCTCACCGTCTGGTCTCAATCACTTTCCAAATTCCGTAAAAACAATGTTAAACAAATAGGTTGTGTTAGTTAATCGTGAAATTAAATTTACCGTATAACCAGCAAAAAAGAAGTATAAAAGAAAAAGTGTAGTGTGTGTGGGACGCGTGAGTCCTCCTTGTATGTAAATTTTGGTATTCTTCTAGTATCTTCTGTCACGCAAGAAAGTGGGGAAACGCATCACTTCACGTGATAGAATGGAGAGTGTAGATATATAAAAAAAAATGAAGTGAAAGTAGTGTGTGAAAGTGAGTTATGACATTTTAGTTTGTGTGGTTATTGATTGATGCTTGAAGGAAGGATAAATTTTTTAGGTTTGTGTTATGTCGATCATTCATTTGTGTTTCCTTGTTCTAGTTAAAAGAATAGTTGTAAATTCCAGAAGTAGTTGTTAAATTCCCTCTACTTTCTCCCTTTTCGAAAGACAAATAAAATAGTGGGCATTGTTTGAGCTGAATTGATTTAGAATCTTTGACTTGATTGCAATAATGGTTGGTGGAAAAAGTGGTCGAGATTGGCGGGGATTAGCTATTTAGCTAGGGTTCGTAAAAGGTTAAGCCATTAAGAAAAATTTGGTATCTTAAAGAGCTAGCTGTAGAAACTTGCTCTAACTTGGCGAGTTAAAAAATGTTTTGACACCGTGTGAAAGAAAGTGTGTGTGTGGGGTTCCAATTCAATATTTGGAGAGACCAAACATCACGGGACGATCAAAATCATCACATGTATGGGTCTAGTTCAAAGATAGAACTTTGTCTGCTACCTGTGTCTTTCACCGCGGATAAAAACCAACCCGTTTTCATTATTTCGTCGCTTTCTTCCTTCTCATAATCAAAGGAACAAAACAAAAAATCCATTTATCTTTTTTAGATAATTTTTTTTTTGAAGAAAAAGTAAACAATCAAATCCTCAATTTAAAACCCCTCTTCCTTTATTATTGTTATCATTTACTTTCTCCTTTTTCTTTCACTTTGTTTTCAAAATTAAAATCAAAAGCAATAATAATATTTTTATAAATTGGATGAGTTTTATCCACAATTTGACAGTTACTAATGTATGCAGATGAAGAATTGGAACCACTAAAATGTTGCTCATCATCATCATCATGGAATATGGGGATATAGTTTTCTTCAATCATATTATGGAATAACATGATCCAGTACAAAAAATTAAATGACCTGATCCGGAGGGTCCACTGCAATCTTTATCAATCCGTTTCCATTGTTTTTCATATGCCATGATTCATATTCTTGATTATGTTCCCATGCACGAATATTTCTCTTTTCCTTTCCACTATCATTTTTAATCATACACAACTTGTATCTTTTTATCACTTAAAAGCCGTTTTATTAAACACATCAAAAAATATATAATTTTACATACTTTCAATTTTCTATAATATTAAAAATACACTTTAAATTAGACAAAAATGTATTAGCATGAAATTAATATATTTTCCAATAATAATAAAAAAACACAGTGCACGAATATATATGATTATGAATGAGAGTAGTAGCCATTAGTCCTAAATCTTAACTTTTTGTTTGATGATAAAGTATAAAGTAGTTTTTATCAACCAATATAAATAGAGACTTCGTTTGACTCTCATAGTATATTATCATGGCACGTAACGAGATACGTGCAAAAAAGAAGTTATTTTTGGAGAAAAAGACAATAATAACAAAAATAATAATAATTCATCTACGCAAGCATTTTAAGCTCAAATTGGGCACTGAAGACATTGTATTGTTACTCTCCCTTTCTGATTCATCATCTCCCAGAATAGAATTACAGTATTAATTAATGCCTCGTGTACCCCACATAATTGTTTTATTTAATAAAATATCATTTTAGAAAATATGTACCAATACGAAATAACTAATGGTTCAGTTGTGCCTTGTGGTCGGATTCAGACCTATTTTTAAAAGTTAATAAAAACTTTTTTTTCTGAAGATAATTTATTATATAAATCATTTTCATTTGATTGGTACTTTTATTAATACAATATTGCTGCCATATATTCTTCAAATTTCCATATACCCCTGATATTGGTGTACTATTTAGTTTTATATATTGATTTAAAACAGTGTTTGATACTGTTGTTTTATCAAAAACAACTTTTTCTGCCATAAATTTTTGAACACATCACTGTATCTCTCGTTTCTTGGTGAAACAATTGATCACCATAAATAAACTTGTTCTTTTATATGAATTTATTATTTTAAAATTTATATGTGGTGTATTTTAATAAAACCTATCTTATTCTTAGACTAGAATTATAGAGGACGATAAACCTTTCCCTTCATAATTATAATATAATTGCATGAAATTCAATTTGGAGAACAATTATTAAAAAACACTGCCTTTAACAATAGTATTATTGGTGTATACCTGAATTAAGCAGTGCATGTATTGGAAAGAAAGTATATTATGTAGTGCCTCCGTTGGTAATTTTATTTATGGAAAAGCAATTGTCCTTTTTCTTTTTACATAACTTTTTTATTTAATTAGGTTTTATTGTGAAATAGAAATAATATAATAAAGACAAAGATAAAGATAAGATGGTGTTGGTGTTGGTGTCTGTCCTTTCTTTTTCAAATTTAGTTTTTTATAGTTCAGCTCGAGTTTGGGGGCGGTTTATTCTGGGGATGCTCTTTTTATATGCATTAATGGAGAGTGTTTATTATGGTAGGTGTAGAGTCTCACAATTATATGCATGCGTATAAGTGGTAAAGATACAGCAACATGCATTTTTGGCTCTATCATATGCTTTCCCCTTTTTGTTTCTTCTTACTCTATTCTCTATCTCACTTCAAATAAACCATATGAATGAGTCTGCAATTTTTATTATAACTATTAGAACAAGCATGACACTGATGGGGAGGATGCAGAATTCATCGTTATTGAGTTAGCTAGTAAGCATTAATCAAGTTTGTCTTTTGGTAGGTGAACTTAATAAACGTGTGTTAAGCTTTGGAGTCATTTTTTACTCTAGTCTACCGCGGATCTTCTTGGGAGCGGAGGGTTAATTCCATGTAATTTATAATTTTGATTCTAAACTTGATGAACATTTAATATATTTACTTGTATATTTATAATTTTATCCTTTCGATCTCTCATCAGTTTGTAACTCCTCATATAATTTATAATTTTATTCTCCTCGAACTTAATGATCATTTAATATATTTAAATATATATTTACAAATTTATATTTTTACTCTTTCATCTTCTTATTCTATTTTATATTTATTTATTATTTATTAATAATATATTATTTAATCCCTTCAACCACTGAATTTAGTAATATAATTATTTGAGAGTATATGGTAAAATGGGTTAAATTCTCATCTTTATTTAGTATCTAAATAATTAAATATATCTTTTATAACATGTTAAATCAAACGAATGAATATATCACATTTAAGATGGTGAATTTAAAAATCTCCCTAAACCGAAACAACGAGCAAGACTTAAAGCAAGGGCAATAATAATGATGTGTTACTTAGAAGGGAGGTATTGACCATCTTAAACCAATTGTGATCATAGCATGAATGACTGTAAAGTATTGTTTTTGATTAAATGGATTCACTCATACGTATAGAGACTATGCTTGTTTTGAGAGAAAAAAAAATATATTTAAATTTGACAGAGATAAACGCAAAAGGAATGAATAAATGGAAACATGTGTGTGGTGGTAGATGGCACAGTGGTTGATGAGCATGGAAGTAGAAGAAGGAAGGAGAGTGACAGGTGCAGAGAGGGTTGAGAAATTGTTTGGCATGTATTTCATGGGTGGGTTTTGGTTTTGGAAATGAGTTGGAGATAAATGAAAAAACAAGAAGCATAGCAGGTACAAGTGAGAATCACCAACATCTTCTTCACCCATAAAAAAACATTACGCTAGGGTTCACGAGACCAACTCACTATTATTATTTATTCAATAATTATTATTATTTGGTGATTGTTTATTTATGGTCCCCAGAAAGAAAGATATTCATGTTCTGTTGCCTGCTATCTTGCGTCATGAATATTAATTGTGCCACTTATTTTAATATATTATGTTTTTTGACCGAAGAAAAAAAGAAAAACAGCCAGGAAGACCATGAACACAACCATATTATTGTGTTGATGATAATATGGAGGAAAGATTTGTTGGAAGTCATGATAATTTTATAGATGAAGATGAATTAATAGATAATTTAATTTAATTATGAAAAAAATAAAAGTAAAAGGAAAATCTTCGTCATGATATCGAAAATTAAAGTCGAATTATTACGAAGTCTCAATGTTTTTAAAATTACACCGTTGAAAAAATAAATTCAAACTTAAAAGTTTAAACTAAGATTTAATTAAATTTAATAAAATAATATTTTTATAATATAATAAATATATAATAAATTTATTAATAATAATAATATTTTTTATAAAAAATTAAAGATTATAATTACGAAAATTATAATAAAAATTATAAATATAAAATTATATTAAAAAATATAAGATGAATAATTATTAAAATAAGATGAAAATATAATAAAGTTATTAATATTGTTAAAAAGGATATGAAGTATGTTAAAAATTTAACCACATGTTTGTACCACCTCCGGTGAGTTTGATAATGAATTGGCAGTATGGTCGTTTGGCAAATGGAGGATTGATATATTTGTTTCATTCCCTGTAGCAAATCAAATTTCTCAACGTAATAATTGATTATTTTACTAAATTGATTGAAACAGAATAATTGGTCATCATCTCATCTTAACAAGTTTACACTACTACAAAATATACTTTCTACGTCGATTCCTAGACGAGACGACGTTGAAAGTTGAATAAGTAAACACATTCTACGTCGGTTCTTAGTCAACCGACGTAGAAAGTACTTTCTACGTCGGTTCCCATATAAACCGACGTGGAAAGTCTTTTTTTTTTTTCACCCAAAAACTCACTTAAATTTGAAAAT